GCTTTACGGTACAGTAGAGTAAATATAGTTAATAATTGTTGATTTCAAAATAGCTTGAAGGAAGGATTTTTAGTGTTTTCACCATGAAGAAAAGATAAGTGTTTGATGTGATTGATATGCTAATTACCTTGATTTGATCATTACACAAATTATACATATATTGAAATAACACACTATAGTCCATACATGTGTACAATTACTATGTATTAATTTAAATAAACAAAAAATTTAAAAAGCTTCATATTTGTATCAGTAGAATTTCTATAGTTCTTTCTTGCCCTCTACTTTGTTTTTCCTCCTTCTTCCCCCAATATAATTTCTTCTCTCACCATTGAGTCCCACATTCTTCTCTTTTTCTATGCTAGTGATCGCATGGTAGTCCTTGTTGTTTCATATCAGATTTACAGAGCAGAAAAACAGAGGGCCAATCTCCCTGCTTCTAGTTTCTGTCTCTAACTCTTAATCTATTCTCTGTTTTGCTACCAGAAATGTTTTTAGAAACAAACATGAAATCAGGCCCTGTCTATGTTTCAATGAGGTACTTGCTTTCAATAATAACAGCAACAATAATAAGAATAGGTAAGTTTTGAACTTAAAACTAAGTCTTCTCCTTAATATCTATCTGATCTTCCTTCCCAGTCAAATAATTTTCTACCACTTTCAACAAACCAATCTGACAATTCATATTTCAAGCATCCATGAAATTTCATAAATAGCTGTTTTGCCTCATGTTTTTAGAAGTTTTTCTAGAACATACTTTTCCCTTCTCCAACTTTTCTTTTTTTAAAATTTTTTTCTTCTAATTTTTATATATGATAGCAGAATACACTACAATTCATATTACACACATAGAGCACAATTTTTCATACCTCTGGTTGTACACAAAGTAGAGTCACAACATTAGTGTCTTCATACATGTACTTAGGGTAATGATGTCCATCTCATTCCACCATCTGTTTTACAACTTTTCTTTTTAACTGAAATGTTTCTATTCATCCATATTGAACAAACTCCTCTATAAGTCAATTATCCCTGTCTCTACTATCATATAGAGATGCATTCTTCCTCTATTCTAGAAATTGTCAAGTCTGACTGTTTTATAGAAATTAATATACATTCCAGGATACTATGCACATTAGCAAATATTATTCCTTGCAAGGGGGCATGTTGAGGGCCACGTTGTTCCGGCACAAGGTAAGTGATGCGTGTTTCTTTTATAGGAATGTGCTGTACATTCAGCAAGCTTTCCTCAAAAACCTAGAGTAGGGTATCTATACTTTAAATGCACACCAAGTTTCTGTGTGCGCTGTTTGAGGGTGGCAAATTTAAAATTTCCTATAGTTATTCTCTGTATAAACAATTTCCTTCAAGAATGAGAGGGTTTATGGGTCTGGGGAGGTGGCTTAGTAGTAGAACACTAGCCCAGCATTCACAAGGCCATGGGTTTGATCCACAGCATTGCAAGAAAAAAGAAAAAAAGGAGAGTATGAGAGAGTTCATAAAAGTAACAAAAATTTGGGAAAATAGAAAGTATTGTTTCTTCATTTACTATGTGTCATTTGAGATAGTGTCCCCTGAAGCTAAAATGTTGGTACCCCAGGGATGTAGGATCTTTACAATCTAGTTGGTAGTACTTTTTATAAAGAACCCAGAAGGTATCCTCAAGAATAAGTATGCAACAGGTACAAATTTTCATCATCAGATTTTCGCCTTATATTTTACATGGAAAAGGCTACAGTATTTAGTGTAAGACAAAGATTTTACAGTTAATAGGAGAAAGGAAGGTGGGTGAACTGGGAAATGGCCTTGCAATGGGGGAGAAGTCTGAAACTCTGTGTATCTTTGTATATTTACCACATAGATGGAGACTTAATGGTTTACATAATTCCAGATTCCTAGGGGGCATTATGAGGTAATTAAATGTTGCAAAGTATTTTATGGGCCTGAGAGTATTTTATCTTACCTGTTTTCCCAAGAGGTTAAGGGTGTGCTTTATGGGGTGGGGTGTATATTACCCTCTCCCATAACAAAGAAAAGAAGTAGCTGGGTGTGATGGCACATGCCTGTATTCCCAGTGACTTGGGAGGCTGAGACAGGAAGATTACAAGTTTGAGGCCAGCCTCAGTAACTTAGCAAGGCCCTGTCTCAAAATTAAAAAAAAAATAAAAATAAAAAGGGCTAGGGTTGTGGGTCAGTGGTAAAGCACTCCTGGGTTCAATCCCCGATCCCCTGCCCCACAAAAAAAGAAAAGCAATTGTGACAAATTGAATAAAAACAATTAATGAGCGAATGAAATGTGCCTTGCCATTTAAAAATCAAAAATAAAAAGAAATAACCTTCAAATAAAACTCATTCCAAGTTATCTTTAACAAAACTTCAGCTAGTTTGACTAAATTTAAAATTATATAAAGATTTCAGCATAATATGATTTCAAGTTTTTACTTTCATATTTGATAAATGGAGTCACAAATCAGTATTACTAAGTTCTGAACCTTAATTATGATTGAAAAAAATTACATTTGTTGTAGAATGTCTAAAATAAATTTTATTTGAAATAAAGATTGTCAACTTAATCTGTGCATGAGCACAGAAAGACATAATAGACTAAAAGACAATGAACTGATGCACAGTATAAAGAGTCAGAGAAGTGGCCCCATATATTTATGCACATATATGGCAGATGACCAGAGTAATATTCAATATTTTTAAAAACTATTGTGAATCACTGTAAACTAAATTATTATAGACCATAAATCCAAAAGAAGGTCTTATGAGGTCTTTTATTTGGAAGTAAGCATGCTTACCCTGATAATTTTTAGCTTAACTTGGGGAAACTAAAAGTTGCATTGATATAGGGAATCCTGCTATGGTACTGGACTGATTTATATGAGTTGCTCAGGCAGGGTGGCTCCCATCCAGGCTGCTACATGTCAACAATACTTGCATTTGGTCTCAATTTCTTCTGATTAAGGTTTGTAAACAGAAGAGGACAACCAAGGCTGGGAAGATAAATCTACCAGAGGGAAGGCAGGTGCTAGATTGGCTAAATGAAAGTGCTCAAGGATTGGTGGGAAAGAGTTGGTATATCGCAGCAAGTAGCTGCACTGGAAGCCACTCTTAATCCAGCTCCCAAGAGAAGGATCTCTGCTTGATTACCCCATTACCCTGAAACAGCTGAGTTTAGCAATGCCAGTGATTTCTTACTTGGTAAACAGATGTTCATATGCTAGGCACCAAAGTGAAAAACCAGGAAATGGTCAATATACTGCTGTGTGCTTTGCAGTGTTTGTGTGTTTTGTAAAGTGGTCTGTTAACCTTTCGTCCCTGGAGGTACAATTCCTAAGGGACTGAGTCCTGATTCCACTTGAGGTTCCTCTATTTAATCTGCCCATTCCACATTACAGCAGAAATTAGTTTGGGTTTCTGGCATCTAATAAAATAACTTTTTAGAGCTTTCATTGGTTTTCTTCTAAGCTAAGAATTTTTGTGAACATTGATAGAAGTTTTATAAAACTGTTTCTACTTTCTTTTTTAAAAATTATTTTTAGTTGTAGATGGACACAATACCTTTATTTTAATTTTTTTAATGTGGAGCTGGGGAATGAACCCAGTGCTTATCGCATGCTAGGCAAGCACTCTACCACTGAACCTCAACCCCACCCTATTTCTACTTTCAAACAGTTGTTAAATACATAAATTACTTCATTTCTCTGAAAGTTCAAATGGAACAGCCAAACTGAAACAAATATCAGTTCCTTGATAGCACTCTTACTAGAAATGTTTTTATTGTAAACATAGAAAGCTACCAAATAGAGGCCTAAGTATTTTATAGTTTTCAACAGGTGAGTCTCAATGACAAAGGAGTTATAACACACTTAATAAGATACAGGAGCTAACTAGGTGGGCTTGGATATTTTATTATCTAGTTAAGCATGTAATTGCATTTTTCTATGTAATTAGCAATATAATTGAATGTGTAAATTAATATATGTGTTTCCCCATATCTGTCATTATAATTAAATGTAATCCTTTAAATTGGGGCATTATCTCTCAATAGATAGCCATATATTTCCAAGATTATTATTATTTTTATTATTGATTCTCTGACAAGGACAAAATATAGACAATCAAAGTCATGTTTTAATAAATTTAAATATCAAATTAAGTATAATTATATTTTTATTAATTTAGATTAGATTTGTATAAACAATCTAATTGTGTAATCTATTAGTCTATTTAAAGAAAATGATCAACCTCATTACTAGGCTATTGAGAATTAATCCCAGTATTTTGAAAAAGGGATTTTAAAGCACTTGATCAAACTACTGGTTGCTATTATTTTGCACAAATCTTACATAGGGAGGAATGTGTTTAAAGCCTGCATTATTTTTTGTTGCTGTTAACTATGGTGCTGGAGATTAAACCCAGAACCTTGTGCATAATAGACCCATACTCTACCACTGAGTTACATCCCCAGCCACTAAACTTCTTTAAAGGAAATAAAGCCAAGTTTTAGTATTGTTATAAAAAGGGATTTTTTGAGTGGCAATTTATGTGTAAAATTGAAATGTATTTTACATGTTTATTAAGCTGTGTTATTTTTCATCTGTAAATGAGTCTATAAATGCCAGAAAAGTACAATACCTCTTTCCAATTATCAAATGGTAATTTTCATTATGTATGTACTCAATATAGGATATATATAATGGACACATTTGGGGCTATATCATGGGGATTATAAATTCCCTCCTCTGGTCAACACATAGCTGTGCTTTCTGAAAGAGGGTAACTCTATTATAACTTAGATACAGATGGAGCCACAGCAAGGTTAGGCATGCACCGCTTGCCTTACTTCCCTGTGCACTCCATTAAATTTACCCTCAACTAGTAGAACACTTTTAATATTTTTTGAGGATGAGCTCCTTTCCTAGCAACTTGGATACTGAAATTATGTACATTTTTATAGTATTCAGGTGCCTTTAAGTGGTCTGTGTCATTACAGTGGCAGGCCATGATAGAAGCATAAACCAGTTCTGTTCTCACCTCTTTGTTGTTCAAGATGATGGCACAGTAGCGTATGTGGATGTCAAATGGAAGATAGTAGAGCTCCAGGCTTGAAGATCCTCTTCCTTCCAGGGAAAGATTTTGTACAGAGCAGAAGAACTCTCTGATGAAATTGGATTTAATTGCTACCAAAACATGACACAGAGCTAGTTGATATATGATATTATAACTGCTATTCAAATAAAGTAGCTGCTTAAATTAGTATGCATTTGGGGGTCTATAAGATATTTATAACATTAGAACACAGAATTAGAAGATGATACATTATATTTTTAAATGAAAGTATGGGTGACTCCAGGTCAAGCAGGTTATAACAAAAATGGATAATTATGACTCCTATGTTAAAAATTTCTTAACAAAGGGAACTTCACTACTATTTAAAATTAATCTGGCTATACATAGTAAAAGAATCACTCATGAGTCTCCAACTTTTTGTAGATTGTGTAATAATTTATATTACAAAGTATAACAATTTGAACAGGAAATGAAGGACTGTCTTATATACTGAAATATATACACACTTCTGTTTTTAGTAGTCTTAAAATGAGTCCATTCATTCTGTGTAGAGAATCAGACGTGACTGCATGCGTGCTTGCAAACGAGACGCTTTGCAGTCTTTGGTGGAGCTTGCCTGCAAACGGGATGTTCTGCCAAGTGGGCTAGGAGGGCTCTGAGAAAATTTTTATCTGTTCTTAACAAAGAGAAGAGCTCAGAATGCTCCAGCCCAAGAGTAGATTAAGTCATGAGAAGCAGGTTACTTCTGATTAGTAAATTACTTCTGCATACAATGTTTTGCTAGCTTAGAGACCTGAGTCAGTGCTGTTGGAATGCTGCCTTCTTTGTTCACAATACTATAGTAAAAAAAAAAAAAAAAAAAAAACTGCTGTATTCAATAAAGGGGCTTCTTCTTTTTCTTTTTCCTTGCTCATGCTGACCTGCGTTTGAGTTATTTGTGGCACTTTGATACTGCCTTGAAATGTGGGGATATGGTGCACCAGCCTTATTAACATCATCCCAACAAACAGTATGCTAAAATGTGGCAGTGGTGAAGCAATGGGATTTCTGACACTAGGACAGATAATATAATATAATTTTTTGCCTAGTTCTCTCACTTTCTTGGATCACTTGCTTTTAGAACCCAGTTTCCATTCTGTGAAGAAGCCTGGGCCACAAGGAAAAGCTACCTGTAAGTGTCCAGGCCAATGGCCCCAATTGAGATCCAGGTCAAAAGGCAGCATTAACAATCAGGCATGTGAATGACAAAGCCTTTGACATGAGTCAAGTCCCAGTATCCATCTCAAGGGACACCTTGAGAGATCTTGAACTAGAATCATCCAGCTGAGCCCAGCCACTCCCCAAATATGAGAGATAATGACTATAATTTGTTTTCATTGTTTCATACCATTACATTTGGGGTGGTCTGTTCTGTAGCTAGGAATAACCAGAACTTTCTTATATTGATTTTCCTGTCTATCGTTTCTAGACCTACAGTTTTTTTCATAAAACAAAGTAAACCTGTACTATCCTCACAATTCTAAACTTAGTAATATTTGTCAGGTGAGTGTGTTTAAGCAGTTCAAAATAATCCAAAAGAGATGAAAAAAGTCACATATCTAAACACATTCCTTATACAGTAGAGGGAACTAAAACTTAGTAAACAGAGAGATGTGGGTAGAATCCCTTAAAGGGTTAACAATACTGCCATACTAGTGTCTGTTGTGATGTGTACACGATGTGATTCTGCAAACTGTATACGGGGTAAAAATGGGAGTTCATAATCCACTTGAATCAAATGTATGAAATATGATATGCCAAGAGCTTTGTAATGTTTTGAACAACTAATAATAAAAAAATAAATAAAAATAAAAGAAAAAAAAGGGTTAACAATAGAAAAGGCAGGGAGCCAACACTTCAGCCTCTAATCTTACCTGAGATCTCCAGGGTTTGTCATTCTGACTATAGTTGCAAACACCCCTTGATGAATATTTCATTTCATATTGTGCTTTGTGCATAAATGTCAGACATGAAAACCCATAAAAACTTATTTAAGATACTCACAGGTTTTTAAGCCCATTTTGATATGGGAAGAGTCCTGAGCACCATCACATCTTTTGCTAATCACACCATCACCATCACAAGAAAATAGGAAAACAACATCAACAGCAAACAAAAAAAATTCAGAAACAATTATCTATCTTAATTAAATCTTATGGAGCCCTAAAAATTACAACTTCACACAATATGACATGCAAAGATCACAAATGTATTTTATATATCATTTCATGCTTATATAGTTTGATAAAGTAAAAGAAAAATAATAAGGGAAACACCAATTGAGCATATTTCTACTACTCTTTTAAAAAATTTGATAAAAATGATACCCTTTTACCCTTGTAGGGAAGTACGCATTTGATAATAATAACCCTAATCCAGAGACTCAAAGAGACAATGGTCTCCGTTAAAAAATAAGTAAATAAATACACTCTCCTTTTGGAGTTTTAGAGTGTTTCTATAGCTTGATTACTTGAAAAAAAATCTTTTCTAAGTTTATTATTTCCAAATTTGGCTTGGGAGGCTAGGGAAGGAGGATCATGAATTCAAAGCCAGCCTCAGCAACTTAGTGAGGCCCTTAGCAATTTATCAAGACCCTGTCTCAGAATAAAAAATGAGAAGGACTAGGGAAGTAGTTCAGTAGTTAAGAGCCCCTGTGTTCAATCTGTGGTGCCAAAATAATAAATAAATATATGTTTGTGTGTGTGTGTGTATGTAAAATTTCCATATTTGCTTCTTTTTAATAATTGGTTACATTTCTAGGAATGAAGTAGCAAATCACAGCCTGGAGCAACTGCCTTCTTTGACAGGTTCCATGTCTTCTAGAACCCTCACCAATTTCCTGCATATTGTACTTCTTTAGTATTCAGGACCACTTTGCTCAACAAGCTGTCAATTAATATTTGGGATCAAACACATTGATTGACTTATTTTTTTTCTGAGAATACAAAAATTTCATAATTACTCACTTTGTCATTTGTTTTCATTTGAGTCAGATGCTCTAAAAAAGTACTTTTCAAGTAACATTATCCTAAATACCTCCATTACTTTTTTCCTATTTTAATTTTATGAATAACACTGTCTTTTCATTACATCATACTCAATGATGTTATTTACCACTTGTAATTGTTCAGTGCTTTTTTTCTACTCACAAGCATTCTGGCTAGCAGCTTAGGTACTGTAATGCTTTTTTAAAAAAAAGTAAAATGCATTTAATATTTTACATAATTTGGGCATTTGATAGACACTTTAATTTAAGGGTGCCATAGGCATAATAATAATAGATGGACATTTTACATTCATAAGGAAGACCATACACAGAGTAGAAAAAATAACAAAGAGTGCTTATTATTTCTCCTTATATGGCTCCATTGTTGTCTTTTTGATAATGGAGCTCTTGGGAGAATGCCTGATTAAAATCCACATTTAGTTCAATACTTGCAATTTCTAGTCCTTCAATCATTTTTATCATAGTGTGTAGAAAAGCACACCAATCTGGACTTCATATCCTTTTTCTTTTCCTTGCCTATTTTTTCAGAAATAAGTAATAAAAGTGCCTTTGAAGAAGTCAAGAATTGCCTCATTTCAAAGAAATGTCTCAAACTCGGATAAATTAAGATACTTATACTCTTTGTGGTAAAGACAGAAAACTTTGTGGATTTAGAAATTTGTCCTGGCTTTTTCATGAAACAAATGATTATCATGATTGTTAAAGACATCAGAAAATAATTTTATTAAAATTACTAGCTTGTGAAAATTCCATTATACTTGATTAATGTTCCTGAGTCTAGAAAGTCAATGATATACCTAATTTATTTATCCAAACCAGTATCTTGGATATCCTACAGACAAAACAGAAAATAATTAATTTACCTTTTTATTATTCCCTACACATAGATCTATGCAACCACTTTTATATACATATTTCTAGATTATGGTTGAAACTATAGTAGAGGGAGCATGTTTAAATGCTTTCTGGTTTTAAGGAAAAATAGCATCAAAAGAGGCTAAAATTATATAAACTTCTGTGATCCAACAATGGAATAGTTCCTGGTAATTCAGGGAGTGAGAGTCAGGGAGTAGAAGCTATTTTTGAGATGCATAAGGGTGAAATTTATTATTTCCTATGCAGTAGTGGTATGTAGCTCTTCTCAAGCTAAAATAATTAAAATGTCATTGGGTTGGTTAGCTTCCAGGCATGAATAAATAGCCCTAAAGATGATTTCCTACTTAAGCCCTTACTAAATGGAAACTCTTTATTGTAGCTTCCACAAAATTACCATAGGGGATTATATTGGGATTGTGTCTAAACCAAATAGCAATATATCTGGTTCAAGTCTAGTTTTCATACATCGTGGAAGGATATATGAGAGAATCAAGTTTTAGACTCATTCTATCCTCCATGTAATCTAGTAGCTCCTCAAAAATGGGGTGGGGGGGTGTCTCAGTGGCCATGTAGAGAACAGTAACAACGGTAGGTATGTTTGCTGTTTTTTGTACCATTTTGGCCTCTGGCAGTTGAAAAATATCAATATCTAAAGAAGGGGCCCTAACCGGAGGTCTAAGGGTACAGTGGATTTGGGAATTTGAATGGTGAAAATTCCATCTTGATTTCCACTAACTTATAACCAAAGCCAGCCTCAGCAACTTAGTAAGACCCTAAGCAACTCAGTGACATCCTGTCTCAAAATAAAAAATAAAAAGGGCTAGGGATATGTTTCAGTGGTTAAGTGCCCCTGGGTTCAATCCCTGGTATGGAAAAAATTAAACTAAACTAAACTTAATTAAATTTTAAAAAGATAAGAATCCATAAAAAAGAAAGTTTCTTTACTTATAACTTCAGAGTCCAAGGATTTAATAATTCTAAAACTTTGGATACAATAAAAGTTATTATAGAATATTATATAAAGTAAACATGCTAAAATTTGAGATACAGAATTACTATTGTGTATTGCAAATCATGAAAGTAGACTCAATTTTGCTATTCATTGCACTAATTTGATTTTGAGTTATTTATGCTCACAGATTGCTACAACATTGATTTGCGATCTAACTCTAATTTAATACATAATATCTAATTTTTTCACATGTAATGTGAATAAATTATTTCAAGGGTATTCAGGCAAAATCTATGACAACAAAACAGCCACTTTATTCAAGAAAAAGCAAGAGACTAAAAAGATAAAAAAATATCTAGGAGAACTGTTAACTGAAGTGTTTTCAGCAATATTAGTATTCATATCTACAAAGAATTTTTTTAAAAAAATACCTTATTCCCTTATTATTATGGTATCCATAGTGCTATCTTACAGATCAAAGTATTAATTCATGTTTTATTGTCCACTAAAGCAAAATATGTAAGCAAAACTTTGAATGTCCTACTTAAGCATTTAATTAGCACTCAGTAAAACAATGCAATGAGACAAAAATTGTTTTTCTTCTTAAACAACTTTTCTCATAGATAGCCATTGAAGAAATCAAATATAATAGATAAAACCCTTATGCTCTCCCAGAAGTATTTATTTATATATTTAAATATAATTTACCATTGGAAAATAAACTATACTCATTTTAATTTTATCAAAATTTGCAAAAGCACTTTAACAGTTTCTGATGACGTTAACACTGGAAGTTCCTATGTTATCAAAACTGCCAATTTCTTGCCTCCTAATACTTTTTTGCCTAAAAAAATCACATTGATACTGTCAAGGACTACACAGAGATGAACGAAGGTATAAAATACACTAACATCATAATATTAATGATGAACATACACATGGTTTTCTTCAGTAGAAAAACTATTTTCTTTCTGCCATTCTTTAATCTAGATAACACTGTTTAAAACATACTTCACTTTAAACACCTATTCTGTAGCTTAAAATAGGTGAGAAATATAAAATAATCTTAAGTTTAAAAAAATTATGCTTCTCTATTCAGGACTCAAAGTTATTTTTTAACCTAAATAAAGACCTCATGATGTAGGCAGAACAAGTTTAAACACAGTTGATCATAATTATACATGAATTCTCTTTCCAAATTTGCTCATTTGCAAAATTTATTTGTAACCCTAAAATCAACACTCATGGTATTTCCCAGTGTTCAAGGACATGTGCAGAGTTCTATTCAGTGATTGCTCCAATTCCCTATTAAGTCCAAATTCTAGGGCCAGGTGGACAGGTTTTGAATCATTTTCATGGCACCTAGTAGTCGGGCACCATCAGTCAAGTCATTTGTAAAATAAGGAAAATAGAATCTACTAATATGGGTTATTTCTAAGATTCAAGATTATAAACTATGCAACTCTTTCTTCTAGGAGCAAAGGTCCAGTATTCACATTGAGTATTTGTGACAAATTTGTAGAACATGACTCTCATGAATAATGAAAATATACTATATTTAATCAAGTGCATATTTATACAGTTTTCTTGCACATGATCCTAGTAACACCTAACATATATTTGAATGAGAGTGTACATAATGTCAAATAAACATTTTGAATAAATCAAAACTATGGTATAATAAATATAACAAGTTTCCTTGAGTGCTAATCTCTCAGAACTTTTACTCAGATACTTTTGAATATAAAATATATAGACATTTACTCATGGCTTATGTGTTGTCCATATTCAGTTAATTGTGATGGCAAATAGACAAATGTTGTGGATTCCACCAAAATGACACTGAAAAAAATAAAGAATTATTTTCAAATGTATTGCAACAAACTGTAGATGACCCAAAAACATTCTTTTACTTTCTTTCCATCATTCATAAAACATGAAACATTAGGATCAGAATAAACCACAATTTAAAATGTTCATGTTTTCTCATTCTGCAAGTAAAAGCATATATGTTAGAAAGTAATGATCTAGAATCGAAATATGTAAAATATTATTTTATACTGAAAATAAATATAATATTCTTTTATATGGAAAGGAAACACTGAATTTTCACAGCAAGGAAATTCAGAACATAAACAATTGCTCAAATTATATTTCAGAAGTAAGCCAGAAATCACAAACTGGTCTTAAGGCATAGCCAGAATTATATACATTTCACAATTCCTAATCTTATTTCAAAAAAAAGAGAAATATATATTTTAGGAATAGACATGTACATGAGATATGGGTAGCTAATTAATCATTAAGTTATCAAGATGTAGCACATTGGTAGAGCTTTTGCCTAGAATGTACAGGCCCTGGATTCCATGCCCAGCACTGCAAAAAAGAAAAAGAATGAAAAAAAATTTACAGAACATTACTGATTATACCATTTTCTGAAATCACATAGCAATGCAATTGTTTTGGTATGACTGTTATAGTTTGAATATGAGGTGCCCCTCCAAAACTCCTATGTAAACGCAGGAATGTTAGGAGGTAAAAATGATTGGACTGTGAGAGCTGTAAGCTAATTAATCCATCCTTGTTTGAAGGACTAATGCTCCCATTGACTTACCTCCTTTAGCAAAGAAAACCTAAACCTGTAATCTCTGGTATTTGAATTAAGAAACCGTTCTCCCTCCTTCCCAGTTTGGTAAGACCACTACTGCCAAGGACACAGGGCTCCCTCCTCCCCAGGCTTCCATTTGAAGAACTATCTTTCTGGGGGAGTTAGGACTTCAAAATTTCTTATACTTCCCCCATTACATGTTGCTGAAGCCAGGTTCTGGGCAAGTGCAGCTGAGAGGAGATAAGGGTCTCCCATCTTACACTCAGGCTCCACTCATGGAACAGAGGTTTTAACCACAGTTGTGGCACTGCTCATAATAATGAGACCCCCCCACACACCCCCCGCCTCAACTGCCCTTATCTCAGCTTGTAAAATGCTAGTTCCACGCTAGGATCAGATATTTTACCCCAGGAAAGAAGCAAGCTTTAAAGCAGACAACTCCTAATCTCCTCCCCAAGGTGCCCATTTCATTCTCAAGAAAGTGATTAGAAGTTCAAGCCAAAGCATGCTTTTAAGACAGGTGGGTTATGATGAAAGGCAATTGGGAGAAGATAGACTCAATAAAAATACCAGCATAATTGTAGGCCTGTAGGAGAAAACTGTGGAAAGAGAGAGCTAGGAGGAGCCCCTTTAGAGTTATAATAAACTCAAACACTGATTTAGATAAATATTAATTCAAAAGAGCATGAATTTGATTGGATTAGTCTGAAGAGCAATTTATGTTCCCCTTGGGCATTGGAATTAATGGAGTTTAATGTTTGGGCAGGAAGAGATATGCATCACTAAAATAACCCAGCCAGTCAGTAAAAATGTAGAATATGTATTAACAGCCTTGGGGAGATAGAACCAGTACCCAAATTTGATACAATATATTTTCTAAAATACCCAAATTCCTTAAAAAAATTATGAAATATGCAAAGAAATAGAAAAATAAGCAAGCAACAGAAACTGCTGTTCGAGTGAGAAAGATATTGGATTTAACAGAGAACAAATTCAAAACAGTCATTACAAATATCTTCAAAGGACTAAAGGAAAGTATGATAAAAGAAGTAAAGGAAGATGTGATGACAATGTAGCACCAAGTAGAAAATACCAATAAAGGCTGACACTATCAAAAAGAATCAAATAGAAATTCTGGAGTTAGAAACCACAATAATTGATATGGGAAATTCACTGGCAGATTCAACAGTAGATTTGAACTGGCAGAAAAAAATAATTAATAAACTTAAAGATTGATGGATTACAAAATCAGAAGAACAGACACAAAAAATGCAGAAAATAAATAGAATTTCACACATAGATGGGAGAGATATACTATAAGAACAATATGTGGGGTAATGGAATTTCATAAAAGAAAGGCAGGAGAAAGGAAAAAAAATGTCCAAAAAGTAAAGTGGGTTAAGAACAAAGCTGGATCAGAAAACAAACAAACAAACAAACCAGAAATGATAAATAAAAAAGCTAATATAAATAAAAACTATAAATATATGAATGTTGTCAGTTATAGGCTTAATTATATCTCCTCAAATTTCATATATTGAAGCCCTAATTCCTACTACCTTAGAATGTGGATGTTTTTGGAAATCTTTATATAAATGATTAATTCAAAATGAGGCTAAGATGGATCCTGATCTGATCTGACTAGTGTCCTTATAAGAGGAGGAAATTTGGACACACACAGAGAGATACTAGAGATACCAGGGGAATGGAGTTACTATTAATTGGAAGCTGATTATGGTATGTTAAGAAGTCTATGGTAATACCTACAGTAATCACTAGGGAAACAAATCCACAATATATTTAATATATCATTAAAAAGTTAAAATACTACATTAGAAAATATTCACTAATGTAAAAGAAAGAATTTATGGCACAATGGAGTAAAAAAGAAAGATAAAATATACAGAAAACCAAATAAAACTGGCAAAAGTAAATCCACTACATCAATAATAGCAAAAAATGTGAATGGATTAAGCAACACAAACACATGACTTTTTAAAAGTTTGCCATTTTCATCAACATGGATGAATCTGGAGAATGTTAGGCTAAATGTAATAAGCCAGTAGGAGAATCACAAATACTGCATGATTTCACATATATGAAGTATATATAATAGTTAAACTCAGAAAAGCAGATATATCATAGTAGTTGCTGGGGGCTGGGGGTTTAGGGGAATGGGAAAGCATTGTTGAATGGGTATAAAGTTTCAGTTATATTAGAGGAACTAGGTTTTAAAATCTGCTATTACAACATGGTTCCTATAGTTAACAATATGATATTGTACACCTCAAAATTTGTTAGAAAGATAGATATCATATTAAGTGTTTTTACTACACAAAAAGCAAGGAAGCAAACAAACCTAAGAGTTAAGAGGAAATTTTGGGACATATTGGTTATCTTTACTATTTTGACTGTGGTGACAGTGTCATGGGTATGTGTCACTCATCACTCATCAAATTGTACACATGAAATATGTGAAATTTTTTTGTATATGAATCATAATTTAATAAATCTAGTTAAACAAACAAAACCCCAACAACCAAAAATGTATGCTGGCTATAGGAGACATACTTGGATTCAAGATACAAATAAATCAAAAATAGTAAGGTTAGAAAAAAAATATATATAGCACATAGTAATTATAAAAATGCTGGAGTGCTTATACTAATATAAAACATGATAACATTTTTTAAAAAATGTAACTATATATGAAGACCATTTGTAATATCTAAAGAGTCAACTATGAAGCTAAAACAATTATAAATATATACATACCTAACTACAGAATAACAAAATACAGAAAGCAAAAACTGGCATATATGGAAAAATAGTCAATAATAATATATATTTAAATATCTCACTTTCGATAATGAAGGAAATATTTAGGCAGAAGGATTAAAAGGAAATATAGAGCTTAGAAAATACTATAAACCAACCAACCAGAATGAACAGATACTTGTAGAGTATCCATCAAAAACAGTAGAAAATGGGGCTGGGGTTGTGGCTCAGTGGTAGAGCGCTTGCCTAGCATGTGTGAAGCCTGGGTTCGATTCTTAGCACTGCATATAAATAAATGAATAAAGTGAAGGTCCATCAACAACTAAAGATATATATAAAAATAATTTTAAAAAAAAAGAATAGAAAACATACTGCTCTTGTGAACATTCTATGTTACAAATCTAATGGTAGGCCATGAGATAATCCTTGATCAAATTGAAATGATTAAAGAAATACAAAATGTATTCTCTAGCTAAAATGGAATAAAATTAAAAATCAATACAGAAAGAAATTTGGAAATTCACAAATAAGGGAAAATTAAAGAACTTACCCTCAAAAAATAGTAAGTTAGGAATAAATCAAAAGTAAAATTAGAAAGCACCTTTAGATTAGCAAAAATAAACTCAAAATACATAAAAAGTGAGATGTTGTTCAAGCAGTGTCCAGAGTGAAATATATAGATATAAATGCACATATGAATAAAGAAGAAAGATTTTAAAATAATAAAGCTAACTTTTTACATTAAGAAACTAGGAAAAGAACAAAAAGTCTAAACCCAATCAGACAGAAGAAAATAAGTAATAACAGAAAAAAAAATGTTAGTGCAGAAATGAAATAGGCAATAGAAAAATAATATACAACACCAAGGAAATCAGGGGTTTCTTTGAAAAGATCAATAAGATAACAAATTTATATTTATGTAGATTGATCAAGAACGAAAGAAGAATCAAATTAGTAAAATAAATGATGGAATAAGGGAAACCATATTTATTTGACAAATAATAAAAAGATTATAACAGAATACTATGAAAACCTCCATGCCAAAATGAGTTACATAACTTAAAAAATACACAAATTCCTAGAATGAAGCAAAGTACAAAAACTTATTCGACAAGAAATAGGAATTCTGAATAGACTCATAAGAAACAGAAGAAATCAGTAATGAAATAAACTTCCCACAAAGCAGAGCCCAGAATCAAAGGGCTTCAGTTGTGAATTCTACCAAACATTAAAACAATTAATACCAATCTTCACAAACTCTTCCAAAAAATAGAACACAAAGGAACATTTCCCAATTCATTCTCTAAGGGTAGTATTAATTATGTGAAAAACAAAGACATCACAAGAAAAGGGAAAAATCACTGCTAAATTCCATAATATGAAGACAAAATCCTCAACAAGATACTGACAAAACGAATCTTAATCATGCTTTTGAAAGTATTATGGAGTATTAAATAATGGTGTTTTGTGAAAGAAAAATTTAAAAACCTTCAATCTTGTATACAGTCACGGAGTCAGCAACCTAGCCAACTAACCCTATCTCTGTTAAATCTATGCTAGACTGCATTAAAGGTTAAAAATAACGATAACGTACAATGAAAATTGATCAAATTCAGTCATTGTGCTAACTATAATTTTGGGGAATGCATATGGAGATATTTCATTTTAAAGTATGTTAAATATGAGATTTTAATAATTTTTTAATTATTAAATTTCATTTTTTAGTATAACTAAAATTTAATATAACTAAAAAATGATCATTTTTAATATAACTTGAAAAAGATCACTTGTTATACTGGTTATAACTCTAAAATAGTCTCGATGATTAATTGGCATTAAATTTCTTTCTTATTTATTTTCTTTAATTATTTTTATATTTTGCACATAATACATGGCTATTTTTTGATTTCTGATTGCTTTTAAATGTTTCAGTTTATTTCATAGTTGTCTAAGTTTGAGAGCATATTCATTCAAGGAAGGATGGAGTAAAAATAAAATTAGTTTTTCTGCTCTGAACCAAACCACACACCTCTCACAGTCATTTTAATTTAACCTAAGAGAAACCATAAAGACATATTAAAATATCATCAGTTTTTTGTGAAACATGTTTCTAATATTCTTCTTATTCCTGGAACATTCAAATTTAACACTAGAATGAAAGATGAAATATGCTTTGTCGTGTTTTTTTTTTCTGAAGGACTGCAGCCATTTGGTTCAATTAAGGGCATATTTTAATACTGGATTAACACCACATATTCACTTTTTATATTCTTTACACTCCAACATAACACTTTCATAAAATTTCAGTCTATAATATTCTCCCTTATATGCACATGAAAACCATAAACATACCAGTAACTGTTTCTACATAATAAATTTTGTTTTTTCAACAATGATTGATCTTATTAATAATAAAATACCAAAAAGGCTTGACAGACAATGATTAGAGAAATGGAAAATTATCAAGTATTAAATATAAGTATGTATATATATTTGTGTATATGTCTGGAATAATGAGTCCCTAATTTAATCAGTACATGAGACGTATCATTTTTCATATTCTCCCACAACATGTAAACTTTTAAGTAGTAATGTTTTGTTTTGTTTTGTTTTTAAACATTTATTTTTTATTTATAGGTGGACACAATATCTTTATGTGGTGCTGAGGATCGAACCCAGTGCCTCAGGCATGTTAGGAGAGCACTCTACCTCTGAGCCACAATCCCAGCCCCTGTAGTAATGTTTGATTGTGTCTTTAAATAATAGTAAAGAATTTTCTTTTCATTGCAAATTTTTGTTATTATCATTAAAACTCAAGACAGACACATGCACATTGAATGTACAATATAAATTAATCCTGATGCTCCAAGCAAAAATATATTTTTAAACTGAATCAATATTTCAGTTTTGGATATTAGCAGATGCAATAGAATTAGATACAAAGAGTCTATTAATTCAAAAATTTTTTAAAAATTAAAAGAACACCAAATCCGAACAAACAGAAAGCTTATAGACAAAATTTTTAAATTTGTATGATCAAGAACCAGTTCAAGAAAAAAAATTATTTATTTTCTTTTTTTTTGACATAGTTCCTTCCTTCCTTCCTTCCTTTATTTATTTATTTATTTTATTGGTTGTTCAAATTATTTGTCCTATTTTATCTGATGATGCTTATAAGTTTATAGGAATATAAACACATTTAATTATTTAATTTCTTTTCAAAATGGTTTGTATAAAAATGGTAAAGAATACTAGATAGTCCTTTTAAGAGTGAAAATAGCTAATTGCAATAAATTTACACCCACCAATAACTTACCTAAAGTCTCCAGCAGTCGGGAAGGGGTTTTTCACATTTATAGTAACTTTCTTCCATTGATAACATGGAGTTTTGCATTTCAGAATTTCCTAAAGTAAAAAGAAATAAAGCATACTATATGATAATATCAAAAAATCCTTAATTATATATAATATGAAGTTAAAAATCTACAAATTGTCCATTTATATATTAAACTGACACTAATTTATTAAATTCTCCTTATCCCATAAATATTATACTGCTAAAATCTGGGTGGAAAGGATAAAAATATATTTAATCTCAATACTGATCCATAGTACTATGCTAAAATTAAACCATTTGTCAAAGCAGTGTTTCTCAAATTGATCTCTTTAAAATTGGTTTGTTAATGACTGGACATGGTTTCTATTTTCAAATAATCAGTCACACACACACACACACACACACACACACACACACATTTATATATATGGCTCCATAAGGCAGAGATAGCTGTGCTGTGGATGTGCATGTGGGGATAAATATCTGTGTATAAGACTATATGTGAGTATGACATGTCTGCATTTATAATGTGGTGGCAGCACTTACATTTATATTGTAATAAAAGCATATATACAAAATAAAAACTTCAAATTATCCAAGGGAATCTCACAAAGTAGAATTTTCTGGAAATTTTACATTTTTATGCTGATTATGTTCTTGACCTATTTTATTTCTACATTATTATCTAATTTACTTCTAAGTTTTCTAAGAACATAGTGAACAGATGGGGAAGTAACCAGAGTTTCACGACCTTCAAGTGCCAGCTTTTCTCCCCTGAGGTAACAATAATGACAGGCTAAAACTAGCCATGGCTTTAACCACATATGGCAAAGCATTATGCTGTTTCAGAGAATTTATGTGAGAGAGTTGGGAAGTATTAAACATTCATTATTTAAAAGGAAATCAGAAGACAAGAACATATATCTTGGTGACAAATGCCCACTTCCTGTTCTGGGCATCACTGTCTAATGAGCCTGTCTGTCCATGTGAGCAACTTCTTGTTCTCCACACACAACTTGCCACTAATTAAGCCTCCTAGAGTGAGTGTCTTTTTCCCAATCTTATTTTGCATCCCCCAAATTCTTTGTAATCCATAGGACAATCTGGCAATAATAAATTTGCTTGTTCTTTACCATATATCCATGGTAGAAAATAAGATAATGGTTAAGAAATGCAATCATAACAATGTCACAGCCATTTTATAAAAATTTAAAAATCATTCTCCCCCATCCTTTGAGGTATAAACACTTTGAACTCTGTTAAGAACATCATCACCTTTCAATAAATGCCAGCATTAGCATTAACTTTTATAATGGATTTGTTCCACAAGACAGTCCAGACAAATTGATAGTGTTCCTGTCAGAGAAAATAAGAATCTTTTTTTGATGCATAAACTCTCCACTCTTAGTCTAAAAAAACCCATAAACACAGGCCCAGAGCTGCATTCACTTAAATCACAAGTCTTCAGAGCAAAAGGAAGATCTCAAGGATCAAGAACTACATAGAAATAAAACATGGAAGAACATCTATGGTCATGACATGCCAGGGTTGGGGAACAGAAGCAAGGATATACAAAAATAAGTAAAATTTACTTACAATTGCTTTAAAATCAAGGACTTCACCCTTTAGAGCAAAAGTCATTGTAACGCCTCCTATTCCACACTTAGGTTTAGAAATTAAGAGCAGTGAAGCTTCAGCAGGATGGAGGAAGCGACTGGTAAATTTCAGAGTGATATTAATTTGGTTTCTATAATAAAAGAAAATAGTTTATTGAAAAAGGCAAGAAGGGCTGGGGATGTGGCTCAAGCAGTAGCGCGCTCGCCTGGCATGCGTGCGGCCGGGGTTCGATCCTCAGCACCACATACCAACAAAGATGTTGTGTCCGCCGAGAACTAAAAAATAAATATTAAAAATTCTCTCTCTCTCTCTCTCTCTCTCTCTCTCTCTCTCTCTCCCCTCTCTCACTCTCTCTTTAAAAAAAAAAAAGAAAGAAAAAGGCAAGAAGTATTTTATTCAGTGAAGAACATGTGCTTACACCCCTAGACTCTAAATATATTTACTTTTACAAAAGATATAGAGGCTGTTGAAGTCTTGATACAGCCTCTAAAATCTAAACTTACCTCCCAAATGTATGTATAATATGCCAAATATTAGATTTTGTAACAGTGCTCCACAGGAAATCATCTATGCATTTTTGTACAAAATTCTTAGTACATTGTTTGCTAATGTTTAGCCAAATTCATAGTCATGTCATTTGGTTTTGTTTACGTGGAGAAAAAAATAACAATTTAAAAAATACCTAAAGCCATGGTTGAAAATAAAATTTGAAGTTCAAATTCACATGTTTCAGAGGAATATTCGATTTAAAGAAAGAATAAAGAAAATATGCCAATTCCCCTTAATCTTTACCTCTGTAGTATAAAATATGGCATAATGCAAAGAGTCTACAAATTTGGAGAAGATTCTGTTTATCAACTTGTAGGAAAATTACTATAGCATGGCACTCTAGCAAACTTGCATGCCTCCACATTGGAGACACATATGTGTGGCCTAACTGCAGCTGACATAAGACTTAGGAGAAAGCCCCATGAACTTGCCACAATGTAACAGTGTGGAGGCTCATGAGGAGCTGCTGTCAGAACATTTCTCAATTGCCTCCCTAACTCCCCAAACAAACTGTCACCAGTCAGTTTCTCATTGCCTCCTGGATTCTGATGAGGTAGTGAGGTTTGCTACATCACTCCCTTTATAGTTACAGGCTAGGAAAATGCTTAATGGCACCATAAAGTGGGTTCTCACCAACAGGGTGATTTACCATCCTTGATGGAGTCATCAGATCCCTTTTATCTAGGTGTTACTCTACACAGAGGACATGACAGACTGGGCACCTTTGAATATTCTTGCATTTGCTAATTATATAAACAATGAACTCCCTGAATCAAGAATGAAATCACTGTTCCCTTACTGGCTCAATGTTTCAGGCTGGCTTCACCTTGACACAGCTGTGGGTGATAAATCTTGGGGAAATTTTACCATTGATTTTACTGTAGCTTTTAGCATGGTTAGCATTATACATCACATGACAGTCATTCCTTTTACAAACTACCACCTATTATCTTCTCTTACAGTATACTTATTGTAGAATGGAGTGGGGAATAGATTTCTCTTAGTGTTAAACCTTGTACCAACTTCTCTATAAACTTGTGCAATTGCTATTGAATGGGTGAGATTGGGGAGCAGCAAAGAGCATGTTTTTTTTTGAAAGAGTAACTTTCAAAATCAATAGAAATGTTCTAAAATTGATTTTGTAGGGAAAATTACAACTCACATCTAACACAGTAAGGGGGACTTTTATTCAGATATGCATCCTCACCAATCTCCTTACTTTTATGCAAAAGGACTCATGGACTTGAACTTAACTGAGAACAAAGAACATTTAATATTGAAATTTTTTTCTGGGTATATGCAGGCTTAAATTTCATGTTAGGATTCCTGTGAGTGATTTAGGAATTTTGTAGATATTCTAAATATCACAATTAGATAAAGCCATCCATTCAATAATTGACTCCCTTGATTGATAATTATAATTTATAATGTTCCAGGCATTGTTTTAGGTTTTATGGAATTTAGTAGTTAGAAAACAAACATACTATTCCTGATTTCCTGGATAATACATTATAGAGTACATGAATGATATTGCCACATCACAAAATAAATTTGAAAGTTATGAATCACAGATGTGCCACAAAGTGGTATAACAGTATGCAGTGGCGAGTGAGATACAGCCTGTAGGGTCAGAAGAAGTAATATGTAAGGTGAGATAAGAAAAATGAGATTGACAAAAATCCCAATAACATTCCTCATAGAATTAGAAAAAGCAGTCATAAAATTCATCTGGAAAAATTAGAGACCCAGAGTAGCTAAAGCAATCCTTTGCAAGAAGAGTGAAGCAGATGGCATCAGTGTAACAGACCTTAAACCATACTACTTCTTAAATTATAGAGCTACAGTAACAAAACCAACATGGTATTGGCACCAAAATAGACTGGTAGACCAATGGTACAGAATAGAAGGCACAGAGAAAAACTCACATAAATATAAGCATCTTACATTAGACAATGGCTCCAAAAACATATATTGGAGAAAACATAGCCTCTTCAACAAATGGTGCTGGAAAAACTGGAAATTCATATGCAATAAAATGAAATTAAACTCCTATCTGTCACCATGCACAAAACTCAACTCAAAGTGGATCAAAGACCTAGGAATTAAACCAGAGACCCTGCACCTAGTAGAAGAAAAAGTAGGCCCAAATCTCCATCATGTTGGATTAGGCCCCAACTTCCTTAATAAGACTCCTATAGAGCAAGAGTTAAAATCAAGAATCAATAAATGGGATGGATTCAAACACAAAAGCTTCTTCTCAGCAAAAGTGAATAGAGAGCCTACAGAATGAGAGCAAATCTTCACCACATGCACATCAGATAGAGCACTAATATCTAGGATATATAAAGAACTCAAAAATCTTAAAGAACTCAAAAATCTTAACACCAAAGAAATAAATAATCTAATCAATAAATGGGTCAAGGAACTGAACAGACACTTCTCAGAAGATGATGTACAATCAATCAACAAATATATGAAAAATGTTCAACATCTCTAGCAATTAGAGAAATACAAATCAAAACTACTCTAATATTTCATCTCATTCCAGTCATAATGACAACTATTAAGAATACAAACAACAATAAGTGTTGGCAAGGATATGGGGAAAAAGGCACACTCATAATTGCTGATGGTACTGCAAATTGGTGCAGCCAATCTGGAAAGCAGTATGGATATTCCTTGGAAAACTGGGAATGGAACCACCATTTGACCCAGTTATCCCATTCCTCGTTTATACCTGAAGAACTTAAAAACAGCATACTACAGGGACACAGCCACATCGATATTTATAGCAGCACAATTCACAATAGCTAAACTGTGGAACCAACCTAGATGCCCTTCAGTAGATGAATGGAAAAAGAAAATGTGTTATATATACACAATGGAATATTACTCAGCAATAAAATAGAATAAAATCATGGCATTTGCAGATAAATAGATGGAATGGAAAAATATAATGCTAAGTGAAGTTAGCCAATCCCAAAAAACCAAATGCTGAATATTTTCTCTAATATAAGGAGGCTGATTCATAGTGGGGTTGGGAGGGAGAGTATGGGAGGATTAAATGAACTCCAGATAGGGCAAAGGGGTGGGAGGGGAAGGGAGGGGGCATGGGAGTACAAAAGATGGTGGAATGAATGTGCCTCTCATTCCACCAAGTACATGTGTGAAGACACGAGTGCTGTGACTATACTTTGTATACAACCAGAGATATGAAAAAATAGCTCTATATGTGTATTATGAATGTAATGCATTCTACTGTCATATATGACAAATTAGAAGAAAAAATAAATTTAAAAGTATTTTTAAAAAAAGGAATACAAACAACAATAAATGTTGACGAGGATGTGGGGAAAAGGGCACACTCTTACATTGCTGGTGGGACTGCAAATTGGTGCAACCAATCTGGAAAGCTGTATGGAGATTCTTTGGAAAACTGGGAATTTGACCCAGCTATCCCACTCTCCTTGGTTTATACCCAAAGAAATCAAAAACAGCATACTACAGGGACACAGCCATATCAAAGTTTATAGCAGCACAATTTACAATAACTAAATTGTGGATCCAACCTAGATAACCTTCAGTAGATGAATGGATAAAGAAAAAGTGATTATGTGTATATATATCATGGCATTTACAGGTAAATGAGTGGAGTAGGAGAATATAATGCTAAGTTAAGTAAGCCAATCCCAAAAAAACAAATGCTGAATGTCTTCTCTGATATAAGGAGGCTGATTCATAAGGCGGATGAGGGGGAGAATGAGAGGAACAGACAAACTTTAGATAGGGCAAAGGGGAGGGAAGGGAAGGGAGGGGGCATGGGGGTAGGAAAGATGGTGAAATGAGATGGACATCCTTACCCTAAGTATATATATGAAAACACGAATGGTGTGACTTTGTGTACAACCAGAGATATGAAAAATTATGCTCTGTTTGTGTAATATGAATTGAGTTGCATTCTATCATATATAGCAAATTAGAATAAATAAAATGAAATAATTTTTAAAATTGAGATTAAAATCATGGCATTTGCAGAATGGATTTGGAGAATATTATTCTAAGTGAAGTAAGCCAATATCAAAAAACCAAAGGCCAAATGTTTTCTCTGATATGTGGATGCTGATTCATAACGGGGGTGGGGGAGCATGGGAGGAAAGGAGGAATTTTAGATAAGGCAAAGGGGAGGGAGGGGAAAGGAGGGGTCCTGGGGGTAGGAAATATGGTAGAATGAGATGGACCTCATTACCCTAAGTACATGTATGAAGACATGAATGGTGTGACTCTACTTTGTATACCACCAGAGAAATGAAAAATTATGCTCTGTATGTGTACTATGAATTGAAATGTGTTCTGCTATCATGTATAACAAATTAGAATACATAAATAAATTTTTAAAAATGAGATTGAATTAGGTATATTGAAGAGAGGAGGAAAGAAGGTAGAATTACAATATATTGGAGGAACTAATCAAAGACCAGTAGCATTAAAGCATAAGGAACGAGGAGATTAGTGATACAAGTTGTAGCTAAGAGAAAGTCATGAAAACCATAAAATTTCATAAAAATGAAAGTATTCCCAACT